TTTTTTTCAGCCGATGTTCAGTTTTCTTTTCCAGCCCACAGCCTGGTGTTAGTTCGCTTCCGTGGCCCAGAAACTGCTCCCAAACAGCCCAAATGTTCAGCCCGCGTCCCTTTTTCTCCGGCCCAAGCAGAGCGGTCCACTCCGTGTAGTGCGAGGCCCAATACCCTCCTCAGCAGTCCAACTCCCTCGACCCTTGACCTCAGCCTGCGTTCTTTCTTCACGACCCATCCCAGCCCGTGTCCTCTCACTCCCTTCGGCCCGAGAACCCGCTTCTCAACCCGGTAAGGCCCGCGCGTTTCACCAGCCTGGTAACAGGTTTGGTTGCAGCCCAAATGTGCGGTTTGCGGCCCAATGTTCTGTGCGCGAAGCCCAGTTCAGCGGCAGCCCTTGTGGGCCTTCCCAGCGCGGCCCAAGTGCGGCCTTTTGGCCATTTGTGTGTCGGGAGCTTATTTTTTGTGCCGAACCCATTTTTGAATTTTTTATAAAATGAGATAAATCCAGAAAATTTATTCTTAAGTCCCGTGACCCATTTCTTTTTTTTTTCGAGTCTTTTTCTTCTAAAATTTTGAAAGTTCCAAGTCCACAAAAAATTTGATTAAAACTCTTAATCCTTAATTTTGATTAAGTGTGGGTTTTATATAATTTTCGAGTAGTGAGATAGATTCTTGATATTTTTATTTCGCTTAAATGTAGGTTTCTGAGGAGTCAAGCCTCACCGACCTACTGAGTCGTTTGTGTGCTATTTTCCTGTCTTCTGAACAGGTGGGTGTTGATAAATCTCACCGTGTATGTTATTCTTTATAATTGCTTAGCTTGATAATCAATGTATGCATGTGAACCATTAATCTATGAGAGGTTCTTACGTTGATGTTGTGCCGACGTTCTCCTATTTATGCCTATTGAGAGGTTCTCCCATTGATGTTGTGTCGGCGGTTTAACTCCGGTTGATGGTGTGTCGACGGTTTAGATGAGATCACATGAGCGTAGGGCTATATAAGAGGTAGACTAAATGATTTGTGTTCATGTTGCAATTATGATTTTAAGTCATTATATTAAATAGACTACATGGTATTACCACAGTGAGCAAGTTGGTCGTTCGCTCCCACTATTTCCCCTTTCAGGTTGAGCTGGTGGCAGCGGCAAAAGACGAGCGAGCAGGGTCATACTTGTCTATTTTTATGAACTATTAATGTTTCCGCAATATTGTCATTATTATTGTTATCTTCTGCCAGATATGTTGAAATGTTGAGTTTTGATATTTGATCATTAGACTTGGATATTATGCCTGTTTGGGAAATTATGATTTGGATTTGAGAATATTAGTAATGTTTGAAATGATCGTCGAACATGTTGTATTTGTTTGGCATGAAGTTTTGATGTGGGATGGTTTATTTCCAAGGGCTTAAGTTAGTACTTAAGCTGTGATTTGAGATAAGTTGGGTAATGCCCGTTATAAAAATTTTAAAATAGTTTGCGAAAATTTAACTCTGATTTTTTTTTTGGAAAAATTCGATATTTTTTGTTTTTAAAATAACATGCTTTTACAAGAACAACCACGCGTAGCCACAAAAGACCAAACCAGAAAAAAAAAAAAAACAACGAGATAAAAATAAAGAACCTAAGTGAAGAACACAAACACGAAAATCACAAAATAAAAAGAAACATAAGAAAATAAAATCAACGCCAAAACTAAATATCTTACTTTCCTTTCCCTGTAACGCCGCTAAATATTTTATAGCAAATTATCTTTTTGTCGAGTATGGGAAGACTCCTGACCTCGGGTCGATCTCTCGAGGAAGGCGGTTAGGAATCTAAAATCTGTGTAGTTCGCAAACAAAAGAAAAATAAAACCTGAAAACTTTAATTCATGACAGAGGTTTGAACTAAGAGCTAATAAAAATCAGAAAACGTAAAAATAAAGACTAACTCAAAAACAAGAATCAACGACGATAAAGAAGCTAGAGAGTCGGGGACAATTTAATATAATTCTAAATGCAAAATCTCTCAAATAATTATTCGGTTCAAGATTGACACTCACCTAGCGGGTGGTCGACTTTTATGCTTCCGAGGAGGTAATTATTATTTATTTATCACCATTATATTATATTATAAAAAATTGTTATTCTTTAGATATTATATATATTTTAATTTACAATTTTGGCAAAAGTTGTTTTGGATTTACGACACCATAGTTGCAATCGTCGGTGATTAGTTTTTTAAATCATCCCCAGCGTGTGTTTGAAAAGTCGAACCCAAACATGCGCAATTTTGGTGCAACTACTCCAAGCATGATATTCCCTTTTCAATACTTAGGAAAGCGGCTTGCAAGCATTAGCGACGGTACAACCGGTGGATCGAAGGACGGTTGCGGCAATATCGACATTCCTGACGATATTCTTTGAAATCGGAAGGGGATCCTATTGTTGCTATTGTTAAGAGTACGTACCCCATGTTTAGGAGTCCGGAAGATGATCTTAGATATCTCAAGGACAAAGTCATACTCGCTCGACCCTTGATGTCTTTTAGTCTGTTAACGAGTACATGAGCTCATTAAACTCCTCCAAGGGAAAGACTTATTTTGGTTCAAACACTGCTTGCAGGTCTAATGTTGGATATGACTCTCTTGACGATATTCATACTCCTGAATTTCTCAATGGGATTAAGTGGGGAAAATTTCAAAATTAGTCCCACAGGTATAGGGGGTGACATTTTTGGTCCCAACGGAATCCAGAAAATATTAATAGTCCCGCAGCTTTTAAAAAATGATCAAAAGTAAGACTTTTTTCAATTTTCCGGCCCAGAATGCCACGTGGCCACATTCATCTGACGTGGCTGAGTACAATGGCAAGGAAAAAAAATCAAAACTAGTCCCACAGGTTTTGGGAGGTGACATTTTTTGTCCCAAAAGAATCCATAAATTTTTAAATAGTCACGCCACGTGTGTGCGACGTGGCATTCTGGGCCGGAAAATCGAAAAAAGTCCTACTTTTGATTATTTTTCAAAAGCTGCGGGACTATTAATATTTTTTGAATTCCGTTGGGACAAAAAATGTCACCCCCTTATACCTGTGGGACTAGTTTTGAAATTTTCCCGGATTAAGTGCTCAAGGCTTCCTAATCTAAATTGCACTTGAAGGTCGGAACTCCAGTGATGTTGCTGAGAAACATTGATCACACCATGGGTTGTGTAATGGTACTATTGTTCAAAATTCTATATATCATTTATATTTTCTTTGTTTTGTGTACAAATTCGAGTGAATGTTTTTGTTGTCTGAATTTTGAGGTCAACAGGTACTCGATTGGTTATTACTAAGCTCAGCAGCCACTTCCTTGAATGCAAAATTTTAACCGGTGTCAAAGTGGGCAATAAGGTTCTTATTCCTGGGCTCACGATCATACCATCTGATGTGAGGATACCATTTAAGTTTCAATGCAGACAGTTACCGCTCATGGTTTTCTATGCTATGACAATCAACAAGAGTCAAGCACGGTCTCTTTCGCATGTCGACTTACTACTGAAGAGTCATGTATTTAGTCATGGACAATTGTATCACGAGCAGAAGGGGTGATTGGTCGTAAAAAATGTGTAATTTTATATATTTATTAGCCTATTTTTATATGCTTAATTTTATCGCGCTTATATATTTTTTGATTTATTTTTTTATAAGATGGATTCAAGTGCTATGACATATTTATGGTTATTTTCAGGATACTAGAGCATTTTTCGTAGAGCATGCCAGTACGGAATTCCCCACACCAGGCAAAAAAAAAAAAA